ATCTCTCCAGCCTGCCTTCCTGCTCTTTTTGGGGTTCTTTCTGGCAGTATTCAAGGAAGTTGTTGATCACCATGTACTAGAGTGGAGTGTGATTTGGCATATAATGCATGTATGCAGCCACTCTGACAACCATCTTAGATCCAAACACTTTCAGCTAGCCTGCCTGAAGAGGGACTTGTAGCTACAGGCATCATGTTTAGGGCCCCATTTTAATGACTTCACTGAACTTTAGTTATCACCTTAAAACTTCTATTTCAAGGGCTAGGGAGATGACTGGGTGGGTAAGAGCACTTGCGCATGTAGGAGGACCTGAGTTCAAAGCCCCACCACACGCCTTGAATTCTAGTGCTTGGGAGGCAGAGGCAGGCAGATTGCCTTGAGATCAAGGCCAGCCTGGTCTGCACAGCAAGCTTCAGGCCAGCTGGGGCTACAGAGAGATCCTGGCTCAAAATGATACCCCCACCCCAGGCCAAAAGAAAAAAAACCCTTTACCACTCACGTAAAAGCTAGGAATGATCATACATGCCTGTGACTCCCGAGATGGGAGGCAGAGACAGGCAGATACTAGGACCTGCTGGCCAGCCACCTAGCCTCATGCGCGTGTACACACACACACACACACACACACACACACACACACACACACACGCTTTTATCTCCAAGTCTAGTCACATTAAGGGCTAAAGTTTCAACCTGTGAATTGGGGAAAACAGCTCTGTCCACAGTGCATGACAACTAGATCCTAACAAACTTCAAATTCTCCACCTTCTAGCAGTTGCCTCCATCCTATGTACATAAATTCCTCTGATTTGGATGAATCCCATGTTCCATGAGCCATTCAGAATATCCAAAATGACATTTATGTTTTGATAGCAGCTCTTACTAAAGGATTTGGACTCGGGTTATTGGCCTATGCATTGTGACTGGATAGAGTATTGTGCAGGAACATATATCAGATGTACATAAATATTTTGCCCAGTTTTTCATGACTCAGATGGGAAAACAGGATGATACAAACCTTGAGAAGACAGCTCCTGATGCTTTTGAGAGACTGGTCAGGAATGTGGGATCTTGGATCTCCTTCCTGTATATGACAAAAGACATTGCTGTCACCTCTGGGGGCGGGGGTCCACCCTGACCTGATTGCTCTGTGTCTAGGACTGAGGAATAATGCAGTTCTCTGCCTTCAGCTTCTCTGTGCACTATCAGGAGAGAACTGTGCTGACTTGGGTGGACAATCCTCCCCCGTTATGCCTGTGCTCAGCTCAGCAAACGGAAGCTGAGGAGAGACAATCCTCTCTCATACCCAGAGAAAGTACATTCCCTGATGCAAATGGGGGGCCTTAGGCTGCCGTTTTCCCAAAGGGTCATAATTTGAGAGAAATAGAGCACACCACATCAATAGGACTAACTCTTTTCTCTGTTATGTGCATCTCTGTTAGACTACAGCCATCCAACAAGCACGGCGAAGTGAAACGTATGTGTCCGTTATTAATCACGAGTTTTCTCATTCTGCAAAGGTGTCTGCCACGTCCATCACGTCAAAGGACATTACCACTTCTGGGTTGATAATTTAAAACACTGAAGTCAGAAAGTAATAAGATCCCATTTTCATGGTGATATTTGTGTCCCAGAGGAGTAAGTTGTGACCCTGATGATCTATCTTTGCTTCTGAGGGGAATAACCTTCAAATATATATATGGTTGTTCCAGTTACAGAAATAGATTTTTTTTTTTAAAAAATTCCTACCACATG